CTGCGCGCGAGGTGAGCGGGGCCGGGGAGAGCGTGGGGGACGGGGGGCGTGAGGGACGGGGGACGTGAGGGGCAGGGCATGTGGGGGACGGGGAGTGCGAGGGAGAGGGGCTGTTAGGGGCTTGGGGTGTGACAGGGTTGAGACAGGGCGTGTGAGGGACAAGGGTTGGTGCAAAGGGGACATGGGTGTGAAGAGCTGGGGCGTGAGGGGCATCAGTGACTTTACACTGTAGTTCCTTTTGGGAATTCGGGGAGACTGAGGACGGGACATGGCGCACACGGGAGGAGGCTCAGGGGGACAGTGTGCCTTTCTTCTGTGCCAGGGTGGGGTGGTGGAGGGGGAATTGGCCTGGGGATTGAGGGTACCAGGCACTGTAGGAGTCTGGGGCTGGAAGGAGGAGAAGCGAGAGGGTCAGGATGGACCTTGACCAGAGGATCCGGTGAGGGGCTGCTCCCGGAGGAAGGATCTGAGAGTCCTTTCTCATCCCTCATATCTGCCCATTCCACTCCCTCCTTCCCTGAGATCTCAGATGAAGGACATGCTTGTGGGAAGGAATCAGATGTGCTGTAGGATCCGGACAGTGCCCATCATGGTGCTGCAGAAGGGTCTGCCCCATGAATCAGAGTCCCAGGGCTGGTTGTGCTGTTGGTCTCTAAAACCTGTGGTCTCTCTCAACCTGTGGGTTGAGGCAGCCCATGTCCAGTTTCTTGTTTCTGCTCTACTCTCCTCTCTTCCTGCCCTCTCCATGCAACTCCATTGTTGCCTTCAGCAGAGTATCTTCTGTACAAACATGCTCCAGGCTGAGGTGGGAGTTTTCCTGATGACTTGCCATGTGTCAGCCAGGACAGCAGAGGAAGTATCCAGGTGGGATGTGCTGGCAGGTTCCCTCCATGCCCCGCTGAGCTGGTGCAAGTGTTGGCTTTATGTGTGGTGTGATGGGCATGTCCTGGCATTTACCTGTGAGCAGGACAAGGTGAGCCAGGCATTTAGTTTCAATTCTCAGATCTTTGGCAGCAGCAGCAGAGCACTCTGGTTTGCAATGAGAGCTCAGGGTGTGATTTGTGCACTCCCTGCATGTGATTCAGCCCTCGTTGACAGTGTCAAGGCTAATGCTGTGTTACTGAATTGTGATGAGCTTTTTTGCTGGTGGAGGTGGAGAAAGCCACCTCCTGATGTGCCAGTGGGGCTGGAATGACTTTAGTATTGTTCTTTGTCAGAGAGATTAAAGCAAAACTTTGTCAGGATTGTTTAGAAAAACTATCTTCCATGTTGGGGGAGAAGGGATCAGAAACCTGCTCTGCTGTGAAAGGGAAGCTCTTGAGGGTGGTTTTGTGGCCCCACTGAGACAAAGGCTGGTGTTGGATCCACACTTGGCAGAGCTCTGGGCTGTCCTCAGCCCCCACCTCTAAACAAGGGCAGTCACTGCCTTCAAGAAGATGTGACTTTGACATCACTGATTGGGAAATCCTGATGTGATTGATGCTCCAGTGCAGGGGACTTTGGTCGTATTTTTGGATCTCACACTTGTCACCACCTCTGGATGTGCCTTGATCCTGTAGGGAACACCCTCCACACTGAGGCCACCGGGATCCTCAGCTTTTAAGGCAGGGGGTTCATGTTCTTTTTTCATCTCTCCTGAGCAGCTGCCACTGCCATGTCAGACCTGGAAGGATGTGCTGCACTGGGGGTTCACTCGCAGCATAGCACTCACAGGTTGCTGCCAAGCTGTCTGGCCTGGTAGGCACTGGTGAAGCTGGTTTGTTGCTGATTTGTTGCTGGTTTATTTCTGGTCCTCAGCTGCCTCACAAGTTGTCCCATGTCTGGGGCAGCAATACAAAATGGGGCTTTTCTGTCAGAGTGGGAGGAGCAGCTAAGCCTGGGTAATGTCAAGGAGGGTATGTGGGTGCAAATAGCATCATGTTCACAACATCTTTGTTTAATGTTTTAGTCCACTTAGTCTGCATGACTGTCTAAAAATAGGACATATTTTCTCTAAGTCCTCTAGTTCAAAGCCTCATAAGCCAGTTTTTTTTCTGACATTATTCTCTTCCTTCTCTTTTGAGCCTGAAATTCATACAAGACAAAGTTATCAGGAAAACTAAGAGTGAATGAACTCTGGTGAATCCTTAAGTTTCAGCCGCCCAAGAGGAAGTTCATTAAAGTTGCAGGAACTTTCTGGCAGCCTCTTGAAGGTAGATTCAGCAAGCTGAATAAACAAGCAGCCTTGTGGCCACCATTGACATTTTTCTAGCATCGACTTTGTGCATTGTCATAAGAGCTCAGGGTCATCAGCCTCTGGCTGCAGGTGACTTAAGGCAAAGGTGACATCTGTGGTGAGGGGATGGGGCTGTCTCTGCTGGGACACCCCACGGTTTGCTCTACCTCCTGGTCTTAGGACAGATGCTGCCTGTGGCAGCGGCCCCCTGGAGTCACCCTGGCCCAGGTGCGAAAGAGGGAGTGTGTTTAAATTTCAGAGCTGCTGCTGGACCCAGCCCAGTGCTCCAAACGGCATAAATATCTGGCCTTCAGCACAGCCGTGGAAACTTGCTCTCTGTCCTCCTGCAGATTGCTCCAGGTCTTGGCTGTCCGTGCTGACATGGTGACCAAGCGGTGGCTTTTGGCAGCAGGCAGACGGGGACAGCTGCTCCACAGAGGTAACCCTTCCCCTTTGCACACAGGCCACCGACCCAGGCACTTAGCAGTGTTCCTAAAAACTTGGGGTAGGGAAGAACCTGGGAAGACCAGTTTGCTTCCAGCAAGTTTCCCTTTGTCTATAAGCTTGAATTTTCTTAAATTTAATTTTAAATTTAAACTCCATACCTTATTTTTGTTCAGTTTATGAATATGATCTTATGGATTACTTTAGGAATACATTGTGAGGACCATGGTCTAATCCTGTTCTCCTCATCTGGCTCTTGCTGTCAAAGCATAGTGACATAACATTCCATTATTTCACTGATGTTTATTACTGAAATTGGCTCTTGTAGATGAGGGAGGGCACATGAGATCCAGGGCTGCATGTGGGTAATCAATCACCCAAGAATCCCACACACGACCTGGCAGCAGTGCTGGTGCTGTGTGTCAGTGTCAGACAAAGCTGAGCAGGTCGTGGCAGAGGCAGGACAGGGATCTGGAGGTGGTCAGCAGGGCCATGGGTGGGCACTGTCCTCACAGACCTCTGAAGTGATTCCTGGAATGAGCGCTGCTGAGGCTGTCTGCATGTGGCTGTGGGTGTGTGTTTGCCTGACACAGGTCTGAGGTGTTGAGCTGTTGTGGGTTCTGTGTCAGATTGGCGCAGTGATTGCACTATCTCTGTTCTGGTATTCAAGACACAGACTTCCAAGGATCTTCACAGCGTGTGGAGAGGATTTTATAATGAGCCCCATGAGGCTTTGCTGATCAGAAGATCTGTACTGTTTTACAGAATTGCTTTCTGGTGTTGATGGGCTCTGTCTTTCTTGCGTGATGCCTTTTGGAAAATACATATTTTTGTATAGTAGATCTTGTTGCTCTTTGGGGAATATTTTATCTGTGGTTTTGAATTATGGACTGGAAATCGGCAAATGTTCTTGAAGACTGAAGGATTGGCACAACAAGAGACTCTTGGGGTCCTCTGAACAACAGAACCTGACATACAAATGATGTTATAATTGGGTGAGATGATGTTACAGTGCTTATGCCTGAAAGGTTATTTGCTGTCAGAGCCCAGCTTGGCTTGCCCTGACAATGACATTTTAGATGTCAGGGGTTTTGTGGTTTGTACTGACTCTTTTGCTTAGAGCAGGAACAAACTGATAACCACAGATTCGTTGGGCTGTGTTGCTGCTTCTCATCAGGTGCTGCAGAGTAATCTCTGCTTTTTCCAGAAGTGCCTCTGTTCAGAGATGCACTGCTGCAGTAATTTTGGAGACTCTGGGAAAGTCTGGACAAGCAGAAGTGATTTCCATAGTGAGGATAAGTAAGATTTTTCTGTAGAACTAGTTTTACTTTTTTGTTAATACTCTGAAATATGCTTGCCTTGGCAGAATGCCTGGGAAATTTCCCAAAGCATGATTTAGAGTGGAATGATTGATGCCAGTATGAATCCTTTTGGTCAAGGAGTATGTGAAGTGCATCTTCCCCAAAATATATGTTTTGGGATGTTGTCCACTAGAGCCCTGTTTGATTGCAGGAAGGGTTCAGAGCAGAACTGACTCAAGATGTATCTTAGTTTTCTTATGACTTCTTGAAATGCTTTAATCACTTTCAGTCGTAGTGTCTGGAAAATGTCTGTGTTCTCCAAGACTTAGCCAAGAGCTTACGAACATCTGGGATCATTTTGGTCAGGTCTATTTGGCTTTGCAAAGGGCTCTGAAATGCATGTGTATGTTGGGGTGCTTTCCTGGGGACCTCACAGACAAGCTCTGCTTAAAGTTTTGAGTTTTAGGGAGTCTGTTTTGCAGGGGAAGCCTGACCATGGAGGAGGAAGTGACAGGTTGAAAACACAAGCCAGAAACAAGCTTGCTGGGTCAAGCCAGAACCCATCTCTGGGGCTGGGGCATAGCCACAGCCTGGTAACCTCTGTGTTATCCAAAGCTCTTGCCATCATGTTGCATTTCCTGATTTGCCATGGTCTGGGAACTGGAACTTGAAAAAAAAACCAGAACATGCATGTTCAACCCTTAACAGATATGTGGGTTGGAGACAGAGAATGGTTTTGGTGATTTGAAAGGGCAAGATGAGCTGATAGGGAAGAATTTCTTTGATGGGCTGTTAAGACAGACTTTAGTGGGAAACACATGCCAATCTCATTAGGACAGGCTTTGTCAGGCCCTTCCTGGCAGGGCTTGTGTGAGATGGCTTCAAAATGAGCAATGCTTTGTGCAGTCATTTTGTTGATGGGAACCTAAGCTAAAATCCCTTATCCTGCCTGACTTGTCACAAGTATTTTTCAGTGGAACTCTGATTTCATCATAATGCAATCTCGGATATTTCTAAAAATGCCCAAATCAGCTTTTCACCTTAAAGTTGTTTATATAGATTCTGCTAGAAATGTTGGTTCTTGAAAGCTGTTAACCTCACGAGGGCTGATGGTTAGAGACCCACATCTCTGAAAATATCCATGGGTTCTCATGTCAGTGGGGTAGAACTTGTGTTGTGGTACTTAGGGACATGATGATCTCTGGAAAAGAGTTATTGGTGAGTATGAACTCGAGGAGCCTGCTGAACTGCCAGCAGCTGGCTGCGTCAGGAAGCAGTAGCTGTTGGCTGGCTGTGAGCTCTGTGGCTCACCCTGTACCCCCAAGATAGTGCCAAAGGCATGAGGATGTTATGAAGGGTGAGAATGCTTTGCTCAAGCATTTTGTTTTCTGGGGGCTGAGGCAGAAATCCAAATGGTCAGAGCGCACTGTGAGTCTTGGCAGGATCACACTGACATGGTCGCTGCTCCTTTCCCTGCTGAAAAGGCTGCGGAATCTTTGTTGTGCATGCAGCTATTGCTGTGTGAATGTGGCCAAAAATAGCAAGGAAACAGCATTCGTATCTAGTTCCTTGAGAGGGTGTTGTACTAGTTTGTGTAGAAAAGTGATTCCGGTGTTCTCTGGAGGTTTTCTTGCAGAGATGTGTGCAGTGAGACTGGGACCCCTCTGTTTTCCTGCTCCATGGCTGGAGGGGAGCTGCAACAGACACAGCAGTCTCCTTGATCCGTCTTGCTGCGCATGTTCCTGGCCCAGCTGAATCATCAGAACTTGTGCCTGGGCACAATTGCTCTCTGTCAGCTGCATCCTGGGATCAGAGCGGCGTGGCTGGTGCCCGGGATATTTTGCTAAAGTCTACAAAACCTACTTGGTTTTGTACTTTTCTGGGAGTCCAAGTGTAAACATAACAAAACTTACAGACTGATGGATTGATTTTTTTTCTGGTTAGTCCATGGTATCTAAAATCTGTTGCTGCAAAGAGGAGGAGGCTTGCTATTGGTTTTCTGAGCATTTTCCTGCATCTGGGAGCACTGACAGTGTAGCAATGAAAGCTACCTGTTGGATGTTTGGCTCCAGACAGAAGGCTGCATGCATGTGTGATCCTAAGTGACTTATTTTCCCACTGCTGCTTTTCTGCCCCCATTGCTTTTCTGGGGAGCTGATTGTCCCTTCCAAAGGGGGGGTGGAACTTGCTGGTGTCCCAGTGACCCTGAGACTTTGAGGAAATCTAAGCTGGGTGCTGGTGTGTGCAGCACTGCCAAACTTGGCCTTACTGACTGCCAGCAGTGCTCCCGTTCACAGCCACAGCTTGTTCCACTTGCCACTTTCCTGGAGTTCCATTTCAGTGCTGTTTTGAGTCCCTAACACCCTGTGCCCACTGTTTGCCTTGGGAAGTGGTGTTGCTGTTTCTGTGAGCTCCTCCCTCATCAGCCCTGTTCTATAATTACTGATGTTCCTGAAACTGGATCCTTCCATGTGTCCTGCTCAGGTTCGGGAGGACAAGGGGTCCCTAAGCAAACTGACTGCCTTGGAGTACAGCCAAGAGGACTTCAGCAGTTTGGGAAAGCGTCATCTTACAGTGTTTCAGTGAATTCTGAGCCTCCAACCTCCTCACCTTTGGGATGCTAAAGGAAAGGAGAATATATCCCAGACAGCTTCTCTGGCATGCAAATGCCAGGTTTGCAGCGTGATCCCAAAGCATTGGCACAGTTTCACAGCTACCTCTGCTGTGCCCTGAGCTGTGGGGGGATGATACTCTCTTCTTGCCAGACGTAATGATCTTCTCAAATAACAGCACTTCTGTGCCATTTCCAGCACTGAGAAGCCTCAGTGGTGTCACCTTTCCAGTACCTGCTTGTTTCCCAGCTGCTGTCCTTGTTCCGATGGGTCAGACCCACGTGCCCCTCCTGGCCATGGGTACTTTGGGCTGTCCTGAATTGACTGCTAGACACAAATACCAGTCAGCAGCTGGCAGAATGAGATGCGCCAGTTTACTTCTTGAAAATCGTCCTGGAAATGCCTTGTACAGGAATGTACAAGAGGAGAAGATAGTCATAAGCAGTGCAGGGAGCTGACTTGGGGCTGAGCAGACCAGACCTGTGAGTGTGACTGCAAACAGGTGTCAAAAGCCGTGATACAGGAATAAACAATGACACTTTGCACTGATCTATTTCTCTGCACTTTCAAAACATGCTGTGTCCATGAGCTAATGCAGCCAGGGAAAGATCAGGAAGGATGCACTGTAAAAATCCTGTGTTTGTTTGTTTGTGGTGGATTTTGGTTTTGGTTGGGGGTATTTTGTGATCAAGGAAATGGAAGTAGAGGACTGAACCAGACTTGCTGAAGGTCATGGAGTAGCACTTCAAGTAAGAGCTAACAACTGCATAGCTCTTCCCTGCCTGCCCTGCTGCTGCTGCTCTTCTGCCAGCATCAGCCACAGAGCCTGATTAGGGCAGGGAGTCCCTCTGCTGGGAAGCTGTTGAGGAATGATTCCTCTGTCTTCCTGTGTCTGCCATCTCAAGATTTTGGAGCACATCTCATGCATTCAGCAGCTGCTGGAGCAAAGGACATCTGCAGCTCCTGGAGAACGAGCAGCCTAGCAGACCCTGCTTTGTGCATGGCTGAGAGTTCAGTACCCAAAGTCTGGTTTTTTTTGGTGTCTGTAACACCTCTTGCACTCTGAACAAAACCAGCAGCAAGTTCCTTTTGGAGCAAATGTCATGACCTAGTTTTGGGGACAGCATCAATCATGGTACAAAAAGAGAAGAATCCGGCAAGTTTTGTAACCTTTTCAATGAGCTGGGCTTTTTTTCCCCCCCTCAATGATCAGGAAGTGGGTGAGTTAAAACATGCAATAGATGTGTGATTCATTTTGGCAATCCAGGCTGCTCAGGGCAGCTAAGGGAATCTCCTGCACCCTGTGTCACAAGTCCCTGAGTAATTAGCAGCAGCTAATGATCATGGAAGCTCTGGCAGCACCCCTCTGCTTAATGACCCCAGGTCACTCTTGGGGGAAACACAGGTGATCCACACCAAGCAGCCTTGGAAAGAGATTATCACAGGATTGAACTGTGGGGCATGGTTCGGCATCTAAGCAGATGCTGTTAAAGGGAAAAATCTGGCCCCGAATATCCATCCTGGTCAGTGCTGTGTGGGAGGGCTCTTCCTTGCTAGCTGTAGTAGTTTATTTTTGTGTGTAGCCTGCCTTGCGGCCAAGACTTTGAGTAAGGGAGGAAACACTCAGCTAGTTAAGTGCTGCTGGGATCTCATTGGCTAATTTGAGGGTATGCTGATCTTCCAGGAGCAAACATAAACATGTTTTCAGTGTTCATGTCTCCTGTTTTGTACTCTCAGTTACCTTTCCTGTATTGCAGCATCTGCTTAGCTCTTATTTGGCTTTTATTAGTAGTAGCTGGCGTGTAGGAGGAGGAACAGAAACTGGTACTTGATCAGCAGATCTTGGAAGCAGTGACACAACCTGAGGAAGTCTGGAAAAGGTGGTCAGCCAGCAGCAATCACATCTCCTTTATGGATTCAGGTCAGTTTTCGATTGTGGATTCAAAATGTGCTGTGCATCAAGGTGCTGCCCTATGGAGGGCTGATTTCTTACCTCGCCCCTTCTGCTTCTTTTGTCTGTGAATTTGGTGGACATTTTTGTCCAGAGGAATAAACAGAAGTGAGGAGCACTCCCATGGTATACTGGTTTCCTTTTGCCATTCCTTATGCCTCTTTTATAGTACAGTTGTATTGAACAACTGCTTTGAGCAGATCTTGGGAGAGCTGGATCTTTTTTTTGGAGCTTTGCTTTGCCTGGAAACTCTGAGCTTGGCTCCAGGGTCTATGTGCTAATCAGCAGGATTGGCTGCCAGGGGAACTGCCAACCACAGCTGTTGGAGACTTGGATCTTGGTCAGCTCAGAAGTACTACCTTCTTGCAGGGAATCCACTGTGAAGGTTTATCTTCTTTTAACTTTTATTCCTGTTTTTTAACTCTCATGGTTGTGCCACGTCTCTCTCCCTGTTCCCACTCATGGTTTAGCGTGACGTAGATGCCAGCTTCTAGGAAAGACAAACCTGTTGCCCAAGCTGTTTGCAGGCATCAGCCCAAGCGCAAGCCCAAGCCCAGAGCCAGCAAACAAACCCTCCCTGTACCAGCTGCAGAGGAAGCTGCTGGCTCAGCCAGGGTTACCAAAGCTCCTTGGAACAGGCATTGAGGCAAGGGCACAGCAAGTCATGAGATGCTTGTCCTCTTGCTCATTCCCATCCTCTGAGAAGAGAAAGCAAAACAGCTGTGCTAGATTCTCTAGATATGCTTAGGAAGAAATTCACAGTCTCCATCCTTGTTTCCATCAGTGTCCTGTGACAGCTGATGAATGGAAAAAAAGGGGTGGGTGTCTATGGCAGGCAGAAATCTCTATCTGTCTGGAGCTGAAAGCTTGTGTGCTGTGCTCTGGCATGGGACTCAGCCAAGAGAAGGAGACCAAGTTATCCCATCTCCTTCTCTGGCAACTCGGCCACTGGATGTGGAGGCACCAAATGGCTGGAGAGGTCCTGGGGTGGAGCTGTCCTTTATCATTCCCAGTGCTGTCCCATGAAGATTCTGGGCTGCGGTGCTGGCAAGACAGGTCCCTCCTTGTGCTCAGACAGGGAGGGTTTGGACAAACCTCTGGAGAGCTCCAGCTTCCCAGGCCTCCCTGCTTCCACTGAAGGGCTTGCAGGGTTACAAAGGGGAGCATGTGAATCCTTGGTGAATCTCCACAGTCTCTGCCTGCTGTCTCAGTGCTATACCTGGCACAGGGACTAGAACTGAGGTCCCTCTCCTGCTGGAAACTCTGCCCAGCTGGTCGGCTTCTCAAAGGGCTGCACAGGCATGGCTGTGCCCAGCCCTTTACCCAGGCAGTGGCTGCCTTGGCCTTTCATCTGCCAGAGACAGGGGCTGTAGCCTCCCATGTGAGATCAATCCTTTTTTCCAGTCCTCTCCCTCTATCCCAGTTGTTTGGAAAATGGGAAGGGCTAAGGGAGAAGCAGGTGTGCAAAGAGCTCCCACAGCTCCCCTCTGCCCAGGCTCCTGAACTCTTGGCCTGCAAGGAGATATACAAACAATACATTCAGAGCCTTCTGGTAAAAGCTTTTCTCTCTCTGGCTCTCCAGCCACTCTCAAAGGGTGGCATTCTCATCCGTATCCTTTCTGTAATGCCTGTGTGCACATGAGCAGCCTTAGCTGGAGGCCCGTGGAGCTGTCTGTCTGTGTCTCATCCTCTGCTTTCCCCCTCCTCACACCCATCCAAGACTGATGCCAAGCACAGTTTTGGAGCTGCTATTTTGGGTTTTGGGGAGCAAACTGCATGCCAAAAACTCATGCTGCCCTGGGAGCGCATGGCCCCGAGTAGAGCCGGCGGATGGAGGAGAGCATGTCAGGGATGTTCCCACATTATTCCAACATGTCCCATGAGACATCTGGGGCAAAGCAGAGAGCTCTGTCTGCAGTGGGTTTAAAGCAAGGGGCTTGTGCTGGATGCCAGGAACAAAGGGAATCTAATGAGCTGCTCATTAAGCTGCTACAGGATGGATTTTCCACTGTAGACGAGCTTCTCCTGCCACAAGCTTCCCCCACTAACTGCTCTTACAGGCAAAAGTGTTTCCCTGATGTGTGTGTGATCATTTATTTCAGCCCTGAAAACTGTAGTTCATTACTCTCCATCTCCAATGAATAGGTTTTCCTGCCTGTCTGCTGTGTCCCACCACATGGGATGTGTGAGCAGAGGCCAAGGATAACACAGCCTCAATGGTCCCTCAGTGCTCATGTGGAGGCACAGGAAGGGAGCACCCCCTGCCTGCTCCTGCTGCCAAGGAGCACAGGGCAGTGTGCTCACTGTTGCCACTAATGTACCTCACCTAGAAACAAAGCCACCTGTCCTGCAGTCTGAATTCCCAGTGTGGAGGGTGAAAACTAAAGCCCTCTCGGCCACAGGAGACCTAGGCTCTGGTGCAGCACCAGCTCCAGGGTTGACTTGTATCCTGGCTTTGTGATGTCTTTGTGTTTACTCTCCCACCTGCAAGTTTTGTTCTGTCTCTGAGCTGCTTCCTTGCTCTTTCAGAGAGTTCTGACCTTGATGTCTTTCCAGCAGTCCAAGGAGCTGGCTGCAGCTCAAATTTGAAGTGCCAGGTGTGAGGATCTGCTGTGGGAGGGCAAACAAATCCAGGGAGTCCTGGGTCACTGCTGCCCTCCCCCAGCAAGCCCTGAGCTGTGCTGTGGGCTTGGGCATGGGGCACAGACTATCCCAGAGCTTGGGGTTGCCATTATACAAGGCCCCTGCAAGATCCTGCATTAGTTTAATTTAGGTCTGCCAGTTGAGTCTTTCTTCATTGAACCTGAATTTCATTGGCTTTCCTGATGGTTAAAATTTCTCCACTTAAAATTAACTCTTTTAAGGAAGTGGATGGAATTTTACATAAGATGGGCTTGAGATCTTAATTATTCAAGGAAGAGTCAGTTTAGGAATCAAGAATCCAGCATGGTTGGGAGGTAAGTGGGAATGGCTCTGCCATAACCCTGGTAGCAGTGCTGCATCGTTTGGATGACTGGAGCTTCTCGTGGGCTCTTTGGGATGGAGTAAGGCAAACAAGGAACGGAAGTGTGTGGGGGAGGATGGGGCCGTTCCTCCCACAGGAAGCCCAGGATTAAGACACTGGTTGGATTGTGTGGCCGTTGGGATCGCACTGCTGGACCCTGTGGCTGAGCACGGCCTGGCAGCTGCGCAGAGCAACAGCGACACGTTCAACCCTGCTCTTGGCAGAGGAGCCAAGTGAAAACAAACACAAATGCTGTAACTGGCAGCACTCTGACGGGAAGGAGTGTGAGTGCAGGGCCGACAGGAAGCCATCAGTCTTGCAGATGGCTTGCATGGGCCAGGGACTTTGAGCCACTGCCTGCTGCTGCACTGAGCCCCGCTCTCCCAGTATCTTCCATCCACAGGCATGGATGATCAGGTGCGCCCTGATCAGCTGCTGCTCCCAGTCCAGGCTCTGCCATGGCTGTGCAGGGACAGAGGGTGAAGCCAGCCCTACTTTGATCCTTCTGTAGTGTTGGCTCTATCAGACCCTGGACCTGCTGTTACCATCACATCCTAGGTCACTGGCAGCTCTGGGGGACATTGTCTGGGGCAGCATTTCTCCTATGGGACTTGTAAGCTAGGCACCCCCAGTCCCTGGGTGGCATCTGGGCTGGTTTGTGGTCTATTGGGCCTTAAAAATAATTCTGTGAGCTTTTGCTTCCTTGACTCCTATAGAATGTTTATTCCAGAGTGCAAAAGGATCTTTAAATGGGCCCTGCTCTGCGTGTCTCGCTGGCCGAGGAGCAATCACAGAGCAGGGCTGGTGTGGCTGGTGACACTGCCCTGCTGCTGAGCTGCTCCGTGCAGGCACTCAGAGACCTCTCTCCATGTCCTGCAGGCTAGCAGGAACAGCCTGGTGGGGTCCATCTTGGATAGACGCGGATGATGCCAGAGCTATGACAGGGATTGCAGTCTTGGCACTGAGGGGTGATCAATTATGGAACAACTACAGGAGGAAGTACCTGAGGTCAAGGAAGAGGAAGAGGAAGAGGCAGTGATGGTGGCAAGTGGAGCCTCAGACCCAACTGGAGGACCAGACAGCTCGCTGCCTTCAAGCAGCTACACAGGTGAGTGGAGCCACAGGAGCTCATCCTGTGAAGCATCCAGGCACCCACAGCCTCCAGGCAGCATGCTCAGCTGCAAGAGCAGAGGATCTGAATGGAGTTCTGGTTTTAATCTGGAGCTGGTTTTAATCTCTACCCTTTGTTAAATAATGCTCCAAGTTATGGAGAGGTGTATTTCTTCCTCCAATGTCACTGCATGGTCATTGGCAAAAGGTTCTGGAGGGGAAATTAAAAGAACAGGCAGGTAACATTGTGCTTCAGGGCAAGGGGCCTCCCAGGGTTGCTTGGGTATGCTTCCTTGGACACTTCTTGAGGTCCTCATAGCAAAGTAATTATAGGAGGTGGGAGAGAAGGTTTATGGATACAGAAGAGGCTCCTCCAGAGCACTTGATGTTCCAGCTGGGATGTCCTGTGCCAGCAGCTGGCCAACCAGGGATTATAAAATCTGCTGGTTGGGGTTTCATTGCCAGGACATGAATGCCAGAGGGAAGAAAAAAGCATTGATGTGGAGTTTGAGCTGCTGGGGCATTCTTGGCTCTGTTCATGGCATTTGCCTGCAGCCAGTGCCAGATTCCAGATGTGATACCAGGGGCAGGCAGGACAGGGCTGGAAATGGTTCCTCAGCCCCATGGCTGGAGAAGCGGGCCACACCAGGAGCTGGGCCTGTGGCTGTGACATGGAAGGACATGTTCCTGTGTGTGTTTGCAGACCTGTCACAGAGCTCCTCTCCCTCACTGTCGGACCAGCTGCAGATGGGCTGCGAGGAGGCAGCGCTGGGAGCGCTGAACGTGGAGTGCAGGGTCTGTGGAGACAAAGCTTCAGGCTTCCACTATGGCGTGCATGCCTGCGAGGGCTGCAAGGTGAGTCCCAGGGACGGCTGGCTTCAGCAGCACCTAGCAGGGGTTAGATTCCAAGGGCTGGGTCGCCTCTTCACACAAGCAGATTTGCAGCAAAACAGGGATTTGGGATTGATTGTAAAAAACTCAACCTGTTTAGAATGGGGCGAGTATAGGCAGGCAGCAAATGCTGCCCTGGGAAGGGGGCTGAGACCTGTATGGGCCAAACCTTGCCTTGTCACGCATTACTGTGTAAGGCAAATCCATCCCTATGGGGACCCTGAATCTGCTTTTAAAAATAGTTTCTGTGCTGCAGATCAGCAATGAGCTGTGTATTTATCTCCCTGGGATCACTGGCTGCAGCTTGGATGTTCCTCTGGAATTCTTTCCCCTGCAGCAGATCCAGCAGGGTTGTGTTAGCAGCCCAGGTCCTGCCAGACATTCTTGAAGGCTGGAGTTGGTCCATGACTTGTCCCTTCATCCCTCTCCGTGGGCTGCTGGCACAGTCACAGCACCAAGCATGGGGTGCCCCCTCACTTCTTCCTCTGCAGCCCCTTTCTGCCACTATACAACCTCTCCGTGGGACAGAGACTCTGCTTGAACCAAAGACCCAGGGCTCCCCTTCTCACCCCCCTGAAGCTCCTGGGGATAACAAACCAGCCTGGTCCCAAACCATAGGCACTGCTGCTCCATGTGCCCCTGCTCCTCCCTGTCTGCAGGGTTTCTTCCGCCGGACGATCCGCATGAAGCTGGAGTATGAGAAGTGTGAGAGGAGCTGCAAGATTCAGAAAAAGAATCGAAACAAGTGTCAGTACTGCCGCTTCCAGAAATGCCTCTCGTTGGGCATGTCACACAATGGTGAGTGAGACTGCTGCCCACAGGCCTGGCCAGCTGGGTGACACAGGGCCAGCTGGCTTTCTGTGAAGGGTGCCCATGGCCTGCTGTGCTTTAGTTGATGGCTCTACTTGCTAGGTCATTCAAACCCAGTGCTTCAAGCATTTGACTCCTCCTTTTTTCTTTATAGGAAGGGGCTGTTCATTCCCACTGTGCAGTACAGCTGCTGGCACATGGCTGTCCCTTATGGACGGGCCCAGAGGGAACTGGACACACAAGTTGTTCTTCTGTGTTGGGACTTTTAGACTTCAGGTGTAAGAATCTCAGACCCAGACAAGCAAAGGTGTTTATGTGGGAAGTGTGGTTTGTGCAAGAGCCCAGAGGGGTAGGATGGGAGTGTGGTGTGAGGAAGCAGCAGTGGCTGGTCTGTGAAGATGTTAATGCTGGAGGAACTGCAGCTTGGAGAAGTATTGGCATGTAGCTGCAGGTGTTCTCCAGCAGACCTGTCTGTCTGCAGTGGCAGAACTAACTGCTGCCTCTCTGGATGCATCTCCTGGAGTTCCCCTGCTGTCCTGACCCCAGTTTTGCCCCCCAGCAATCCGCTTTGGGCGCATGCCAGAGGCAGAGAAGAGGAAGCTGGTGGCAGGGCTGACAGCAAGCGAGATCGGCTGCCAGAACCCACAGGTGGCTGACCTGAAAGCTTTCTCCAAGCACATCTACAACGCCTACCTGAAGAATTTCAACATGACCAAAAAGAAGGCAAGAGGTATCCTGACTGGGAAGGCCAGCAGCACCCCAGTAAGTTCCCTCTCAGGGCAGAGGGGTTGGCCATGGCCAGCACAGGGGACTGTTTTCTGGGAGATGCTGCACATCTCCCTGCTGCCATAGCTGTTCCACATGCACCATTCCCACCTGCAGCCAGGTGGGCTCTGTATGTCCTGCTCCTTGCTGGGAAAAATCACATTGCTCTGCACACTTGTGCTGTGGTGGATGGGTGCAGATTGCCTGGGCACTTCAGCCCCAGAGGCAGGGCACAGCACAGGGACAGGCAGACAGACATGACTGCCCTGGGCAGAGCTGGCACCCCCACAGCAAACTCATAACTTGCTTCTTTTTCAAGCAGCCTTTTGTGATCCATGACATGGACACCTTGTGGCAGGCAGAGAAGGGGCTGGTGTGGAAGCAGCTGGTGAATGGCATCCCCCCCTACAAGGAGATCGGGGTGCACGTCTTCTACCGCTGCCAGTGCACCACGGTGGAGACTGTGCGGGAGCTCACCGAGTTCGCCAAGAGCATCCCCAGCTTCATAGGCCTCTACCTGAATGACCAAGTGACTCTGCTCAAGTACGGGGTGCACGAAGCCATCTTCGCCATGCTGGCCTCCATCATGAACAAGGATGGGCTGCTGGTGGCCAACGGGAATGGCTTTGTGACCCGTGAGTTCCTACGCAGCCTGCGCAAGCCCTTCAATGAGATCATGGAGCCCAAATTTGAGTTTGCTGTGAAGTTCAACGCGCTGGAGCTGGATGACAGCGACCTGTCCCTGTTTGTGGCTGCCATCATCCTGTGCGGAGGTGAGCGGGTACCCTCGGCCATCCCAGGGTCAGGAAGAGTCCTCCCTACTTAGAGGTGGTTCAGAGGGGACTAGGGGAGCTGAGCTGTAGCTGGGCTTGAGGTCAGCCAGGGATCTCTCAGGGGCATGAGAGAAGAACTGAACACTTCCAAAACCAAAGCTTCTCTGTGGCGGTGATGCCTGGCGAGCTTGGACCAACAGCAAGAAGTGGCATCTCCTTCTTGTCGCTTCTCCCCTTTTTAGCTGATGAGGATGAAGTCACGGTGGGTGGGTTATGGTCCTCGTCTCCCTTTCCCCAGGAGCAGTGTGTACTTTGGAGGGCTGCACCATGACCCTGCAGCTACCGTGCTTCCTCTTCACAGACCGCCCTGGCCTGATGAACGTGAAGCAGGTGGAGGAGATCCAAGACAACATCCTGCGAGCGCTGGAGTTCCACCTGCAGTCCAACCACCCGGATGCCCAGTACCTCTTCCCCAAGCTGCTGCAGAAGATGGCTGACCTGCGACAGCTGGTGACAGAGCACGCCCAGCTGGTGCAGAAGATCAAGAAGACAGAGACAGAGACATCTCTGCACCCACTTCTGCAGGAGATCTACAAGGACATGTACTAAGGACCTGTTATTTATGAGAATGAAGCCATTGATTCCCATCAAGACTCTTTGTACAGAAACAAAGAAAACCCTTCCCAGTGTCTTCCATTTCTCCTACTGGAAACTCTTTTCTGTGTGACCCTGACATACGGTACATAGGGCAAGATGCTGTCAGGATTTGCTTGGCCAGGGCTTCCGTTAACACACACTAATAAATCTGCAAAGCTGCTGTTCCCGTTCCTGTTCCCTCAGCGGAGCAGCTGCCCGGTTTACATGGCTCAGGCAGCAAGGTCACTGTGGCACCTCGAGTCCCCAGGGTGGGGACTGGTCCTGAGGAGTGCCAAGGGGGTGCAGGGGCCAGCGGGGCCGACAGCAGCACTTACAGTGTATTTGTGTTCTCTTGTTCATTTGCACTCCAAGGACGTGGTCCTGAGCCATGAAATCGGGGACAGTGTGATAAAAGGATGTATCTCTCTTTCCCAAAGAAAAGCTCTGGGGTATTTGAACATGGGTAGGGCTGTCCCAGCAGAGACCCTCAGCTGTGGCCCTGCCTGTGCTCTGCAGTGTGTTCCTGTCTCCCACAGGACTGTGTGAGCTCTGCCTTCCCAGGTGCTGTGTGGGAGCCTTTGCTTCTGGCACCCTCATTCCATAGGGAATGTGTCCCTTGGCACCTCAGTATGAGAGGCTGGGATGGGGAATTAGGAGGATTTGATTTGATTCCTTAAAACTCACCTTCAGAGGAGAGGCACAGAATCCATGGCTTCCACAGGCTGTTCTGCACAGATGTGAGTTAGAAAAAAAGGTGTGTGGAGGGTCAGGGGCCTTGAGCTGGTCAGGGTTTGGTGTCCTGCCTCAGTTTCCCCTCTGTGAAAGGTGCCTGGATTGTCACATGCTGTCTGCTCGGAGCAGGAGCACGAGGATCTGTTAGTGCATTGGTTGCAGAAAGCTTTGCAGCTGTAAATGCCAAGGGTTCATAAGCAGGGAAGGAGGATGCTCCCAATGGGCAGGAGCTTCCCAGTGAGCATGGCTGTGTCAGGGAAGCTGCTAGTCCTCCTCTGCCACGGTTCCCAAGAGTGTGAACAGCTCCAGGCTTAGGGGTCTGCCTGAACCCAGCAGCATTCTGGGACTTTACCTCACAACTTCTCACAGCTGTAGTGAAACACCTTGGTGCTGCCTGGGCCAGGCCAGGCCCTTGGTGTGGGGGCTGTGTCACTTGGACTTTGGGTGGACCTGGGAAGGGCTCGGTTTCCCTTTCAGGGTAATGGTGTCTCATCTAAGAAGCAACACTTCCTCATCTGCAGCTCGTTGTCCCCTGTGTCCTGAGCAGCCTTATTAAAATACTGATATTCCCCAGGAGGGGTTGTGGGAGCAAATTATTTGGTTTTATTTTACTTTCCTCCTCTTCAGGGTAGCAGATTTCCTTGGTGCAATAATTCCTTTAAAACCCAAAGGGGAAGAGCACTGGACTTTCCCTCCCCATCACAGGGCTGGCCAGTCCCAAACCTCCCCATGCTGCCACACTCCACTCCTTTTGCCGTGCCTCAGTTTCCCTGCCCAGCCCTCCCCTCCCTACCTCGCAGGGGTGTTGGGAATTACCGTTTCTGAAGCACTTTGAAGCCCTCTGGGGGAAGGCATTGGAGACATGCGTGTGCTGGTCGGAGCCCGGGGGATTTGTCTTTCCCAAAACCCCGGTGGTGTCCCCGCTGTGGCCACAAAGCAGGACTCATGCCCATCACCTGGGAAACTTTTTGCTCTTCCTTCCTCGACAGTATAACAACCCTCAAACTGAAATGTATATTTTTGCTAGAAGTACAAACCTCCAAGTGTTTTTAATAATATAGTGTCTACAAACTGACTTGACTTTAAATAAATCAGAACTAAATATTTAAGAACCTTTTAGCGTCCAGCCTGTCTTTGTGGGATTTCTCTCAGCACCTGGAGAAAGCTTTCCGTGGGAGGATTTGCAGCAGAGGTGATGGGATTTGCTGTGATTTCCAGGCATTTGCCATGATTCATGGGACTCTGTGATGTAATTCCCAGATCCTCGTACCTGCTGTGGTTTTCTTGCCTGCAAACCTAAAGGAGCAGAAAGAGCCAAGCTGAGCAGGATCCCAGCCCTGAGACTGGGTGCTTCCTGCCCCAAATGCTGCGGGTGGAGGTGGAAATGAACTGAAAACACCCCGAGAAAGGGAACAATGAGCTCCAGGGTGGCCAAGTGCTGGAACCTGCTCCGCCCTTGGCTGTGGTGAAACACCTGAGAATTTGCGAGGAGGGGCTGCAGACCACCCACCCCCCCAAGGCTCCCCTGTGCCTTGAGTGCCCTGGGGGAAGCTGTTCACTGCTCCCTGCCTTTCCCATGGAGCACATGGAGCCGTGCTGCTGGGCCGGGCACCCTGCGTGGTTACCCCAACAGGCAGCGATACATAATCCCTCCCTTCCCGGTGTGATGGGGAAGAGAACTGAGAAAGAAGTGAAATCCACAGGCTGAATTAAAGACAGTTTAATAGGACTGAAAAAGAAGGGGAAATAGTAATGACTAAAGAATTAGAATACAGAGAATTTAATGACGCACGCTGGAGTGCTGCCCCCGTCCAGGCTCCTCACTGCAGGAGCCGTGGGAGCTACAAAGTCCTTGACTCAGTGTAAACAATGCTCAGCAGCCCGGTGCTATCAGCTAGCCCGGGCTTGTCCTCCGCCCCAAACACGTGTCTGCGGCTACCAGGGCCGGCCCCGGGACTCGCTGAGGCCATAAATAGCCCCGGGAGGTGGCACAGCCCACTTCCATGCTGGGGAAGAGATAGAGCAGGTCTCGATGATGGCATCTGGGCTGCTAAGGGCCGAGGCAAGCTGTCTGAGACCGCTGTGCAGGTAAAGGCTTCAGGATGGGAGCAGCTTTTCGGGGAGATAGGCTGGAGATGGGGCTCCTCGCTGTGGGGGTAAGGAGTGGATTGGGATGGCCTTGATTCGCCCTCCCCATTTCCCCATCCCCCTCTGGAGCTGGGGGTCGGCAGCAGCTCTCCAGCCAGGCCTCCCTTCCTGCCAGCCCCAAGCCAAGGGCTCCTGCCCCAGCCCTCGGGACCCCTGCTCCCCCAGGAGAGCCCCCCGGCTGTCCTGTCCTGGGCTTCCTTTGCTTTGCAATTACCCAGGAGATTAGGCTGGATGGGGCTGGGAGGACCTGGGAGCCCCCTGGCTCTGCCCTTGGCAAGGGCTCCTGAGCCCAGACGCCAGCCGGAGAGCTTCCAAAATATGTCCCCACCTGAACAAAGCTGCTGCCAGGAGGGACGCTAGGGCAGGGCTGGAGTGGGGTCTGACCCCAGCCACACGGCTTCTCTGGCTGACAGGAATTTTGCCCGTGGATTCTGTCGGTGGGGCCAGAGCTGCCGCTTCTCACATGACACAAAATCAGCCCAGGTCTGCAGGTACTTCCAGCGTGGGTTTTGCCTTTATGGAGAGCAGTGCAGGTAAGGAGGGGCTGTGATGCCATGAGGATGGGCTGGGAGCCTGGAGGAGTCATGCTGGACTGATGGGACCCTCTGTCTCTGTCCCTGGGCTCCTCCAGCTACCAGCACATGCAGGAGGAGCCAGCCCCAGTAGGGACCCAGTATGGTCTGATGCCCCACGACCACTGGGACCAGGAGCCTGGCACTGAGCCCACAGCCATGGACCAGGACCAGGGGGGAACCCAGCGCACCTCAGCCCATCCTGCCTGCAGCATGACGTGTGTGGCCTCCGAGTCCCCCAAAGTGGAGGTAGAAGTGGAAGAGGAAGACAAGAAGAACATCTCAGCACTTGGTAATGTCCCCTGTGGGGCCATGAGTGGAGAATTTGTTTCCACAAAAGCTCAGGGTGCCTCAGGTAGGTGCTGAGCTGGCTGGGGGACCAGCAGGGTGAAGATGTTGGGGTGGTTATGGTGAAGTAGCCCGTGCATGTTTCTGCCTATAACCCACACCTGGGCCAAGCTGGGGCTGTGGAGAGCTCTCCAGTGTTGGGACTGTCACTGCTGAAGCTGCATGCTCTGAGCATCCTGCCCAGCCCTCTGAGTTTTTCCCTTCTAAGAAAGTTCCTCCTGCAGGCTTCCAGCCACAAGGGCCAGCACTGGATCCAGGCTTCTCTGACCCCAGAGAGGAGGTTTCGGAGACAGCGACATGGACTGACCCTGCAAAGGTGGGTTTGGGGTTTCCTGTGGCCGGGCACTCCCTGTCACCCTGTGGTGTTCCCTGAGGCCGGGGCAGCGATGGAGCCAGGGGGTTGCCATGCTGTGCTGCTCTGCTTGCAGGTCCCTGCAGAGCCAGGTGCAGTGGCAGCCCTGGTCACCACTGCAGCACTGAGAGCCCAAAGCGAGGCCATAGTGTGTGGCATCTGCATGGACAGGGTGTACGAGAAGCCGCTGCCAGAGGAGCGGCTCTTCGGGATCCTCCCGAACTGCAGCCACGCGTACTGCGTGGGGTGCATCCGCAAGTGGCGGCGCAGCCGGGACTTCCAGAGCAAGGTCATAAAGTGAGTGGGGATGGGGACATGGCAAGGTGGTCACCGTTTGCCCCTTCTATGCCCTGAAATTCTTTCTTGGGTCTGGTGATGTGGCTTTGGGATTGGTGTGCCTTTCCCTTGGGAACGGGCGCTTTGGAGTGGTGATGGGTATGGGGGTGCTGGATGAGGCCAGGGCAGCGTGGGTGCTGGACCCATGTTCCCTTCTTGGGACACCCAACTGCACCCGTCACCCTCATCCAGGGCCTGTCCAGAGTGCCGGATCACCTCCAGTTACTACATCCCCCACAAATACTGGATCTCAGATGTGGATGAGAAGGAGAAGCTCATCAGAACCTTCAAGGCACGGACAGGGTGAGTTCGTGGCACTGCTGCGGGTGGTGGAGCTGTGGGCTCTGTGCTGCTTCTGGGAGTTACACTCACAACTATGCTCGGAATCCCACAGGAAAATCAGGTGCAAATTCTTCATCCGTGGCCACTGCCCTTTCAGATCAGAGTGCATCTACCTGCACGAGCTGCCCGCCCGCCAGCTGCGGCGGCACAGACGGCAGCGGCTGAGGATGCCCGCTGTAAGTGGGGTGGCACATCCTGGGGCTGGGCTGGGCACTGGGAGGCTGTGGCTCATCCTTCCTCCCCTGCTGCAGGTGTTCATCCCTTCTTCCTCGGAGAGCTCTGACGAGGAGGATGAGTTCTGCACACTCGAGTGGGCTCTTACCCTGGCCATGATGGAGACAGAATTTCCCTACTCAAGTTATGGCCACGAGATGCTTCTCATTGACTTCAGCGATTCTGACTGAGCCATGGGAGCTATGCTGGGCTTGCTGGTGGCCAGGACATGTCTCCAGGACGTGGAAGCATCTGCTCTTTCAGTCCTGCCACTGTTTTGGGGTGGCTCCAGCTGTGGGGGTGTTGCAGGGATGGGGGTGGTGTAATAAGTGGAGAGTGTGATGTTGGCTCTCGCAAAGGTTCTAAGTTATAAGCAGTTATAAGGCTGAAAGAAGTTCTGTTAAGATCTGGTGTTTTCATCTGAAATGTTGAAAGTTGAAGCACACGAAGGACTGCACGGACTCTGAGAGGCAGGGCAATGGAGGAGCTGGGTCAGAAGAGTGACATCTGCACAAGTGTGGGGAGGGTCGGCTCACCAGGGGGCTGGCTCACCAATAACATGTATAAGGGTATAATGGGTGTGGGCAGGGTGCCTCTGGCTGCAGCTATGCACTGAGAGCGTCCCCTTTTCCTTATTCAGTTCCTTGTTGTGGTTAAATAAAACCTTTTGAAATTTTAAAAAGTGCGGTAGTGTTTCCCACACCGTGGCCATGCTGGAGACAGAATTTCCCTACTCAAGTTATGGCCACGAGATGCTTCTCATTGACCTCAGCGATTCCAACAGCACCGTGGGGGCCACGCTGGGCCTGCTGGTGGCCAGGACATGTCTCCAGGGGGTGGAAGCGTCTGCTTTTGAGTCCTGCCATTGTTTTGGGTGTTGTGGGGGTGTTGCAGGGATGGGGTGGGATGGGGAAGCGGTCTGGCTGGCATTTATGGCTGCACCGGGGCGACTCAGAGCATAGCCCCCTGCTCTTGTCATCGTGCCTGTGAAAAACGAGGTTCACATAATTTTATAGAATTTGAAAGTTTAATAGAAAAGACAATTAGGGGAAAAAAAATAAAGTATACAGATACAGCCGGGTGTGTCTGCATTCAGCCAAGAGAGCACACCTTACTGACAAAGGATTGTCCCTTAAAAACAGAATCCTACTACATATCCATAAATTCTCATACATATTCATACATTCTTAGGATCTTTGGTGTTCTTCTGTTTAGTTTTCTCTTGCCCCCTTCCCAATAGATCAATCTTCTTGGTGCCATCAAGATTTACATTCCCTGATACCAGAAATGCAATAAATTCCTCCCTCCAGAGTTCTGGTCACTGCTGTCTTCATGTGGATAAGATAGTTTACAAATGCAGGAGTTTCTCTAGCTATATATATATATTTTTCTCAATCTTTGGGTTATACAAACAAAAGCAGTTTTTAATACTATGCCATAGCCTAACACATGTATTATACTACTATTTTTAAATTTCAACAATAACAGAAATAAAGAAAACTACATTAATACAACAAAATTTCCCATTCTTATACACATAACATTGATTTTAATATTTGCGAAAAGCCAACAATATAATATCTATAACAGTGCCCATCTTGTGCCCTTGGGTGCTGGGAGGCAGCGAGGCGCTCTGACCCACGGGCCGGGCAGCAGGGGCGCTCTGTTTTAAACTTTTTTTAGCCAAATCCGTGAATAACGAAATAAAACGGGTTGTGTAAGTCCACGCTTCCGGGCGCCTATGATCTGTGGGCTGGGGCATCCACCGTCGGGGGGGAAGGCGGTGTTTGGGCCGGAATTGAAGAGATATTTGCAGAATGAGCTCGTTCACAGCGCGGTCGATTCGCGTTTCCTGGGGGCGGGGCCGGAAGTGACGTCATGAGGCCCGGGGGCAGCGGGGGGAGCCCGGCGGGGACGCGGTGACACCCCGGTGACACCCCGGTGACACCCCGGTGACACCCCGGTGACACCGTGAGTGTGCGGTGACAGCCGTGTGTGTGCCCTATGTCCGGTCTCCCCGTGTCCAGCTGTCCCCCATGTGTGACTCTGTCCGGTCTCCCCGTGTCTCACAGGCCGCCGTGCAGCCACCGCCGCAGCAATGGAGCCCCGCTGCCCGGCCTGGCTGCAGATCTGCCCCGGGCCGTGCCGCCTCCTGCTCCACGCTCTGTGCTCCGGCCCCGGCGGGGCGATGGCCGCACTGAGGGTGCTGCAGCGGGGCCAGCCCCGCGAGGGACCGGGGCAGGCGTTCCCCTGGCAGGCTCTCACCGCAGCCCTGTGCGCCGAGGAGCCCTCGCTGGAGGGGCCAAAGGACACCCTGGCCGTGTGAGTTGGATACATTTCTAAAACTTGGTGTTTTGTGGGAATTTTGGGTGTCAGGTGCGCAGTTTGGGAGAGCACATCCGCTTTCCCCGGTGCAGCAGTCCATGAAGCTGGGATCATAGCAGCGACCCAATGCTGTCCCAGCTTGTGTCTGCAAAAGCTGGTGAAGCCATTAGGTGTCCCCTCTTGCTCCCTGGTGCTGTGGGACTCAGCTCCACGGGGCAGGTTGGAGTCAGGACAGGGGGATTTGCTCTGACCAGTCACCTCTCCTTTTCCAGCAAGCCACAGCTGCTGCTGCTGCCCGTTTTGTGCCAGAGAAACCTCTTCTCCCTGCTCCTGGTGGTTCAGGATGTTGTGCCCGGGGATTGCCTTGACCAGCTGCTCCAGGCCTTGGAGCAAGATTCCCATGTGGATCCCTGGGTGAAGACACTGGGGGATCTGCTCCAGCAGGAAGCAAGGGCAGAGGAGGGTTCCCCACATCCCACTGCCCTGTCTTCCATGTGCCAGCAGCAGCTTAGGGGCCTGTGCCAGAAAATTGCCCAGAAGAAACCAGAGGGGCAAAGAAAATTGAACTGGTGCTTCAGCAAGCAGGCTGGTGCCCCTGACTCTGCACCTCAAGGTGGGAAGTGCAAGAGAATGTCAGAGGAGAGCCTGCAGTTGGACAGTGAGAGAGAGGGGAAGAGGTTGTTGCTGGAGGAGGTGGCATTTGAGCCCCTGGAGCCCCAGGAATGTGGAGATGTAGCAGGGGTGGAAGAAGAGGTGCCTGAGGAGCCTTCAGGGGATGTATCTGCTCAGAGCACAGATAAGGCTGCTCCAGACAGCTCCCAGCAAGATGCAGTTGGGGAGCTCAGGAAGATTTCCCAGACAGAGCTGGCAGTAGAGGTCCAGTCCTTTGTCCAGGTAATTTGTAGGGTTTGCTGTCCCCTTCCAGCCAGTGGGCCTTTACAGCCTGATTCCCATTCCTTCATCTCATTTCCCTCAGATGCATGGACAGAGGCTGAAAATGCTGCTGCTGCAGGAGTCCAGTGTAAGTGGTTGTTTCTGTCTCTCTCCTGGAGCTGCTGGTCTAAATGGGCTCGTGCCAGGGCCTTGGAAGGGGTGGAAAAGGAAGTAGATTTCAGAGAGCCACCTGGATGGGGATAAAAAGCCCTGTTGACATTTCCTCTGGGCTTGAAACACCGACACCTGCCTGCACCTTGGAGGTGTGAGGGGCTGCCTGTGGGCTCAACACTGATGGACATGGGGGGAAGGGAGAAGCTTGGAGCTTCTGTTTTGTGGGTTGGTTTATTTGGTGCATTACTCAGCATGGTGTTTCCCTCCAGCACTGCGAGCTGCGCACCCCACCCGAGCTGAGCATCCTGAACAGCTGCTCCCCCAGCCAGGTGAACCCCAGCATCCCTGCTGCAGCTGCTGCAGGGGGCCTGCTGCTGTCCCTAACGTCCCATCCCCTCTGCCATCCCCAGCTCGAGGGGCTGTGCTCCTTCCTCCAGCTCTCCACGTGCCTGGAGCCCTTCCTGGTCCGTTTCTGCAGTTGGCTGCTGGCTCTGACCCCTGACCTCAGCTACACCAGCGCAGCCATCCTGGCAGAGCAGCTCTTCCTCAGGCGAGTACGTGCCAGGGCAGTGGAGGTTTCCTGCTCCCCATTTCTCCCTCCACTGTCCCCACCTCCTGCCTTTTCTGTCCCTAGGTCCTGTCCCTCACCCAGCCGCCTTCCCGACACCTCATGGCTGCCCTCACTTCGTTTTGCTCCAAGTATTCCCATCCCTTCTGCCGTGTACTGGTGGCTGCGGTGCTGCAGGAGCCTGGGGAAGGTGTGGTGGGCTGGTGGGAGGTGTGGCAGCTTCTGGGAGTTGGAGAGGGGCCCAGCTGCAGAGTGCTGTCTCCTGGGAGGCATTTGTCATGTGGAACGGGTGTTAGGAGCCATGGAGGCGTGGGGCTGCTTCCTTCTGGGCAGGTGAACACTTGGGGGTTGGGATGGGAGGTGGGTTTACAGATGCCTGAGATGGAGTGGGAGGGTTGGCTAGGCTGGCTTCTGGCTTAATGTTTCCCAAAGGACAATTCCCACACTTCTGTGATTGGAGGGCTCCTGACAGCTCCTAATGCTCAGCCAGAGCTGCCCCAGGGTGGCTGTGCTGGTGTGAGGAGAGGGTGAACCTCTGCCACCAGCATCCCATTTTCCCAGAGACTGGTGCTGTTTAAAGCCTTGCTGCAGCTGGGCAAAGGAAGCAGGATTATCCTGAGCAGTAGAAGGGGGCACTGCATTGTTTCTGCCTGTCTTGACTGGGGCATCCTCCTGTGAAGGCATGCCAGGAAGGGCCATGCACATCCCCATGGATTTGGCAGTCTCTGGAGGCTCTGCCCTGCTCCTTTGCCCTTGCAGGTGCTGAGCAGACCAAGCTGATGTGTGAGCTCGTGGAGGAGTGCCTGGAGCCACACGCTGTGCAGCTGGTGCTGAGGTGAGGGGTTATAGGGCCCACAGCTCTGCTTTGGCCTCACGCCTGCCTGGGTGGGTCCAGCTGGCTCCAGCCATTTGGGAGCACCAGCAGGGCTGTGGAGCAGCACCTTTCCTCTTCCCTGTCCTTCCAGCCAAGTCCTGGAGGTGCCTTTGTCAGAGAGACTCCTGCCAGTACTGCAGGCTGTGCTGGGGCGGCAGGTTAGGGGCCCACCTCATCCCATGAGTTTCTTTGATGCCTCCAGCAGCGCTGGAGCAAGGACCCCCTCTCCTGCCTGCTCCTGGGTCTTTTCCAGGAGGTGCTTCCCCCTAAGCTTTTGGATCTCCTGGTCCTGACTCTGTGCCAGCAGGCCCCAGCCTTTGCCACATCACTCAGCTTCGCCAAGCTGGTGATGGCCGTGCTCACAGTGTACCAGAGCCAGGTGAGCGAGCCAGGCTCAGGTCCTGCAGTTCCTGGGACCCGGCCCAGAGGTCTCAGATTGGCTCCTGGTAGGGCAGCACCCTGAGCTCATGCTGCCTCCATCCCAGGTCACCCCAGCTCACCGGGGCAGTCTGGCTGCGGTCCTGGATCAGAGCAATGCGGTGCTGAAGAAATCGCTGCAGGCTGTGCTGGAGGGGGCCAGGTGAGGTGGGGACAGGGGTCCCTGTCATGGGGGATGGCAGGATCTGCACCCTGGGCTGTCCCAGGGGTGGGGAACCAGAAGCTTCCACACATGCTGTGCCAGAGGTTTGCCAAAGCTATACAGTGGTGTGTATGACAGTGGCTTTCCTCTTCTTGATTTTTTGTCTTTTCCCAGGTGACCACCAAAAGGAAGGTGGCAGCTTCCTTGCTTGGAGGACACTCATTGCACAGCAGCAGCCACAGCCACCCCTCACTGGGTTCCCCTGGTGAGCAGGGTCTGTTCCCCACGGAGTGCCCAGTGAGGGGGCTTTTGCTGGGTCAGTGCCATCCCAGCCTCTCACGCTCTCTGGGTCTCAGAGGGGTCTTGGTTGAACAATTCATGTGTTTCCAGGTGTTTCTGTAAGTTGATAATTCTGGACTTAGTTCAATATCTTGGTTTCACCTCAGCTCATTCCAAGGCACGAGTTCTGTGCATGTCCACCCTCCTCCCCAGCAGCCAAGGCCATTTTGGGGCAGTGCAGGCTGGGCTGCTGCTTTGTGTATCTGATCTGCTGGGATTTACACATCTCTGGGTGCAGGAGAGTGCGACTTAGCTGAATTCCAGCTGAATTTAGCTGGAAATTTTGAGTGTTCTGCTTTAAATCCACCTTTCTTTCCTGTTTGCCTGGCCTGTGAGAAGCCCTGCTGTGTGCCACACATTTCTGGTGATGATGACACTACTCATTGCTCTAATAGAAAATGTATGGCATGACTCTGCTCAAAGTTCTGTGCTGTATTATTGAAAGTACCCACTGGACACCTCATCTAGGCACCTCCTTGTGTGAGAACTGGGAAGAAAAGTTTGGGAGAGAGTGGATACTCAGGCAGGTAGAGCAAGGGTTTCAATGGAGATTTTGAAGCATTGCATACTTCAGGAGCAATTTAAAAATCCATAAATATCCACAAAGGGAGAAGGAGAATTATAACGTGCAATTGTGATGTGTGGCTGTTTCAGGTTTGCTCTGTAATGTTTAGATCCCAGCCAGGGAAACTGAAGCATTAGGTCATGCTCTTAAGGCTGAGAGCACAGATTTCTTTATATAAGGATCTCTTAAGCTATTTTAGGTGACAGTGGACTGATGAGGCTTCAAAGTCCGCATTAGCTGGAGGATAGAAACCTCCAGGGAGCCAGACTGTTGATGTGTTTGCATTCCAGTGAGTTAGTGGCTGAGTATAGTGAAGCTATTGTAGGGCTGCCCAAAATACGACATAAATAGAAATTGTGCCATGATCATCAAGGTCTAAACTTGCTCTTCTGGCTTTATTAGGTAGCAGGCTCTGATCTTTGCAGTTTCCCTGCAGAGCTTCTACCAAGTGACTTCGGTGTCATTGTCCCCAGTGCTCTGTCTGGCTGTGGCTGTCAGTCACATGGAGGTGACCGCTGGCTTGTGGCAAGAGCCTTCTTCGCCCTGCTTTTGCTCTTGGCTGCAGTTTATCATGTGCTGTGGGTTCCTCTGAGGTGTACATGCAGACAACAATTGTGTGGGGAGAACTGGGAGCAAACCCTGGGCATGCTGCACATGCTGGGGGAAGGCTGCTTGTTTATATGGAGGTTGGCAGCAGCTGCACAGAAAACTTTACTTTTGACTCCTCTTGACCCTTTCAAGAACTTTAAAACCTGTCCTGAACAGTGCAGAGAGGTGGATGCAGCATAAAACATCAGTCAGATTTTATAGTTCAGCAGAATCTTGGCCAGGGGTGGTGGGAGTGCCAGCACTGGCTCTGTCCTTGTCCTGATTTAAGAGTGGTGATGGTGAAGGGAATGATCCAAAGCTCTGTCTGTCTTTTCCTAGGCTGGGGGTAAGCAGTGATTTTCAGCCAGTTTACTTGGCAGTGGTTCCTTACCTGCTTCCTCTTCTGTTTGTAGAGTTTTACTTCACATTTCCTTTTTGGCCTAGTAGTTCTTGGGTTTTTTTGAAGGAAATTCATCATACGCAGTTACATGGGTTGTCTGTCTGCTCTGCTGCTTCCTCACCCTCCACAGGAATTTTTGAACCAGGTTCATGGCAAAGGTGATTGTCTTAAATTGCAATGCAAGATGTAACGAAAAGTCTGTATTCTACTGCCAGCTGTTAAAATCAGCCGTGGCAGTGTTCTTTATCTCTTCTATGACCCATCCCTCATAACTCCAGGGGCATCTCTTCTGTTAACGGACCATTGAGCCTCACTGCATGACTGATAAAATTCCATCATCCCACTGTGAGATGCTCCACCCAGTGGGAGGAGCCAAGCATTCCTACCTGGATATAATCTGGGATTTAGAGCACCAGAGTCAGCCTTTCTCCACTGGACTCCCAGAGGAGACCGAACCCATTTCACCACTACTGAACCTTCAGAGGAAAACTACACCCATCTACAGGATCACTGCTCCAATAGAACCACATCTGTCACCCCAGGACTGCAGCCACCATTTAATGGGACTGCTCCCAACACCCTGCCCGACAGAGTGTCAGGCTGTACTCTGTCAGTGGTTTTTATACTGCTCCATTTTAATTTTCCTAGTAAGTTGTAAGTTTTTTTAAAAAATTTATACATACTAGTAAAGAACTGTTATTTCTACTCCCATACCTTTGCCTGAGACTCCTTTAATTTCAGAATTACAGTAATTTGGAGGGAGGGGGTTTACATCTTCCATTTCAAGGGAGGTTCCTGCCTTCCTTAGCAGACACCTGTCTTTTCAAACCAATGGTTCCTCCACTCCCCAGGTGCCTTCATGGGGCTATGGTCAGGCAGCAGGGAACCTCTTTGGGGTGAGAGGGGCGTGGGGTCTGTGGATGTTAAACACCAAACATCAGAGCCATGTAGGAGCCCTGGACCATGCAGTCCTTGTTGGAAAGGGCTGAAACTCAGTGGCTTTCCCAAAAATGACCTGCATCCATCCCCCAAGGGGCTGCCCTTCTCCAAACAGGAGCTCCAGGTTGTTGCTGTGTCCCCCCTTGCAGCAGTGCTGGTCACCCCACTTCTTCCTGGAGGTACCTGTGTGTCCAGTGACAGCCTGCTAATCTCATGTGTAATCCCCAACACGCTGGTGCAGTTCTGCCTGGAAACCTGGGGGCTGTGACACCCAAACGTGAGGCTGAACTGCTCCGGGGGAAGCTCAGCAATATTTATTTTTTTCACTTGGGATTTAAAACTGAATAAAAAGAAAGAGCAATTTTCCTTCTCTTTTTTTTTTTTTTTTTTTTTTTTT